TAAAAAGTGATATTTTCGACTTCTTGTTAAAAACTGTAAGTCCGATTGCTTTGATACTATTCATATTGTTCATTTTCTAATGATGTCTTCAGTTCTTTAATTGAAATGTGCATTGCTAACAGCGGAGCTATCTCAGCCGATAGGCTGCTTGTTTAATGTTAGCATGCAATAACCAGGTTCCTAAATATATATCTACCACAATATTTGAATTATTTCAAGAGGACTATAGTACTAAAGTTGAAAAAAATCTTCCAATCACTTGCTTTTTGTTTTTACAAAGTCCTGTAAAAATATCAGTAAAATCATTGTGACTTCCTAGTCTTAAAAGATCCCTGTGCCAGTCATACTTCTACACAATTGTGAAGTTTTCTCAAACCTAAAGCAGTTCACCGTATAATCAATTTATATTCTGTTTCCATCCATTGCCAACTATCAAAGTTTTGTTCAGAATTGATATAAATGGAAGCCAATTTAATGTTTCCACAATCAAAGTTAGAATACTATTGCTACAATATGTGGTGGTTTTCATGCTGTTTTCTGTTCTATATAAATTTCACACAGTGATTTTGACTTGCCAAATTATTTAAAATGATGACTGACATATTCTTGCAATGTATTTAATCAAAAACACAAGTATTGAAAATGTATAAATATTTGCTAGCGGTTGATAAGAACATGTTCCTTGTCGGAGTTTTGAGTTGAGCTGCTGTGAGGCTATTAATTTGAGTGCTGCTCCATGGAAAGGTGAATTACAATATGTTTAACACAAAAATACATTTAAACAAACACAGGTGCCATTAATTAGTGCTATGGATGTTTCTTAAATTTGCACATACTTTTTTTATACTGACTGTATTTTGTTTATTCCTAGACACCTCAATGATACGACCACTGCATTTAGTCGACATCTACACGATCCGTTGCGACCCTCATCACATGGCGTCAGTAGTAGCTATCACTCGCCAGGTAGTAGCAGAGACAACCACGATAACTATCATTATCAACATAGTTCTTCCTCTTCAGCTTCAAGGTAATCTCAAAGTACCCTGAAATCTGTCGAAACGAAATGCCAGAGGCTAAAATTTTTTTTACAAGCAACTACTACTAGGATTAAGTTTACATACACTGGGATTAGGCTTACAAACCCTGGGATAGTGCCTTAATAACCTCATTTTGGTGCTGGACCCACATATTTCGGATATACTGTTTTCAAGTTGACTGAAAAACCTTTGCGACTAACTGTATTTTTTCTGTTATTCAGATTCAATAATGACCATCCAAGGGATCGACCTTCAGCATCTTCTAGTAGTAGCAGCAGACAGTATTCCCATGGCAACAGAGATGAACATCGTCATCATTATAGTAATGATAAACAAGAACATGTGTCTTACAGTCAGCATCAGTCTGGCAGCCGTGACGACCGCTTCCATCATTCTCATTCAAATAACAAAAGGAGGAAAGCAGATGATTACAGAGATCGTGACCGTGACAGAGATAGGGAGCAAAGGACAGACTCTCGACTCAGTAGTGCCAACAGTAGAAAGTCTGAACATAGACACTGATATGATATATAGCAAAATATAGCAAAATGAAATTGATTCATTTACATAAATGAAATGTTTTCCTCATCGACAGTGCAGCGAAGCGATGTTGCAACAGTAGTACCACCAGTGTGCGTGTGTGGTAACAAGGACATTTGTGGTGGACATTGTTGGATGTAAAAGCTTCAATGCCAAGGAAGTTATTTTCATCCTTAATTCAAAACAAACAAAAACTTACTCTTTCAGCAAAGTGAAAAATGTGTTCAATTTAGAACAAACTGGTTATATTACAAAATGATTTGTCTTCAACATTTAATAAATTTTCTAACAAATTGCTTTGTTGGGTTAATGCAGTACACAATAAGGTCAAGTGAAGCAAGACCAGGGCTTGTGTCTAGTAAAATATGGAATTGTAACAAATTATTAAAAACTATCTTGCAACTCTGACATCACCCCCCCCCCAAAAAAAAACAAATACTAGCAAGCTCACTAAATTTAAGATGTTTTTTTCAAATCAATTTGCAAGGTGTCTTTGACTTGTTAGCCCATGTTAATATGCAAATTAGAAATTACATTTTGACACGTGTCTATTTCAAACTGGTATTTAAATTCTATAAGATTAGTTTGTGCAATGAAATTTATTCTATTTTTCAAGAGAAACGGAACCAGTTTTAAAGAGATGTGTACGTACAAAGAGCAAACTTTTTTTATACTTAGCAGATGAAACTTCACTGCCTGCATCTCTATTTTCTTGTTGCAAGTTGGGCATATAGTGTACATACAATGTAGTATATGTACTTTTGCAGGTGTTGACTTTTTCTTCTCTGCATTGGATTCTGCCACAGTAAATGAGCCAAAATAAACTAGCTAGTTTATTCTTCGCATAGTAATGTTGCTCCACATTTTCTGAGCAAATAAAGCCACTTTTGAAATAATATTATTTTTAATATCTTTATAAAAATATATATATATATATAAAATACCCTATTGAGCAATAAACTCATGTGCTCTTTTGGAAATTGAGAAAGTGAGATTCTTTCACATTTATTTGCTTAAATTCAAAAATGGAATTTGTCGCTCCATTCTATGTTAAATTTTTTTAATCTTACTGCAGACCTTCACTCTTAAGAAGTGCATGCCTGTCCATTGTCCGAATCGATGCAGTCTTCATCTTCTGTTGAAGATGTGCCTGGACAAAGCTTAAATCGTGATGTTTGGTTGATGTCTTATTTTAGTACTTTGATTTGTATAAAACCACTATTAGGAATTGGCAGGCCAACAAAAAATGCACTTTCACTGGAACTGTCAATCGCTGCTGTTCTCTGTGATACACATGCTGAAGATCTTTTTTCTTTCAAATTGTAAACTCAATATGCCCTATTTAAATCCAGATAGTGAAATTCAAGCCCAGCCAGAAAATTAAAAATCTGTAATATGGTTTTGCTCCAGGTTCTCCATTGTAAGTTAGTAGGCATACAAACTAACACTAGTTTTCTGCTCTGCTCAGCTCAGCTCAGCTCAGCTCAGCTCAGCTCATATAAATAATTTAATTTGCCATCGCTAAAGAAATGTGTAGATACTATTGTTTAAAATACTGGAGGTGGAAAGTGGAGGTGGTTTTATCTGCTGTGAGATTAATTCAAAGCACTGCTGTGATGCAGCTGTGAATTTCTAGACAATGAGTCTTTGTCCAGTATGGATTGTAATGATATGTAAATACTGCTGTTTAAAACAATGTGTTCAAAAGATAATAAAACTGTTTGCTACTCTTGATTGCTTCTGATTTCATTGTCGTCAAATCCTGGCTCCTTTACAGCACAAAAAAAAGCCCATTGCAGGGAACCAATCATTCTGCTCGTAGAAGCCAACAATGCATGCTAATTAGTCATTTGCTTTCACCATGTTTACTTTGGAATATTCAAAATGTTTCCAATTACAGGTTGTCATTGTATTTAGTGGCAAAAATTCTTTGGTGGGGCGGATCAGAATGGCTGAATTATACATGAAGTGCTTGGCTCCTGGAATACGCATGTTCAATACTTTGGAATGCTGGTTACGAATGGGGCGGGGTGACTCTAGACAGAAGCAGTCTGTGAATACAAGACCCTCAAAATATTTGTCAACCACAAGTACCATGGCTTCTGTGGTTTGATATTTTTTTGGACAGTAGGCAAAAATAGAAGAATTTGCCTTGTTTAATATGTTGGGGGTGGAGCAGCAATCTTATTTGACTAGCAATCTTAGACTGGTCCACAAATCTAGCAAAAGGGTTGAGGGCTAATCTTTTGTCTGGTAAATTTGTAAACTTGGCCAAACGTCTCCAGTGGTGATACTGCATAATGAAGTATACAATTAGTACGAGTCTGCCATTGCATCAACACTTAGGATGTAGGATATTTTCAGAGATTGGGTCTCCACCCCTTCTGTATTGGCCGTGTTTAGTCTAGCTATGGAGATAAAACAAGATTGAAACAAAAAGATTTAGTCATTTGACATGCTAAAGCTTTCCATTTTTATTGGGGTTATGTCTAATAATGAAAGATTGTCTAGCCTCAAAATACTGACTTGTTAACTATGCTGTGCGTCGTGGTTAGTTCATTTTTCGATAACAAACTGCATGGTTCCATTTAGTGGTCAAACATTTGAAATCACGGGGGTGACAGAAAGAGTGACCAGTGCAATTTTTTGACTCTATGGGAGGGTTAGTACGTCAGTGTTTTCCACTGATATTTCATAAACCAATTATCAGATTTCAATGAAATTCTGGGATAATGCACATACCTGGTTAGTTTTTGATTGAAAGTCGTGCATATAAATAAGTTAAACCTAATTGCATATTAACCATTTTTAGCCGCCACAACTACATGCACATAAATGATTAGTTTGTGATTGCAATCTGTGCATATTAATTACCCAATAATTAGCTTTTCAACAGATAATCTCAACCACTCATCAGATTTCAATCAAAACTTGGTGCATTGGGGTAGTTGATATACATGTTTAGTTCAGGGTTAGATTATGTGCTTACTACTTACTAATTAAAATTTGCATAATTTAAACAATTTGTGTTCCACAGACTCTCACATGAAATTTGGTATATGCTTTTAGATAATCCACAGATTTGATTACTAGATGGTTTAAATTCATGTATATTAAGGTAGCGAGATAGTTTTTTGGCATGAAAAATGTAAACATAGAAACCATACAATCTACTTTGAATAAATGGTTTAATGTGACCTCGTTAATATGCAAAAGTGTAATATCTCGGCACTATTACAGATAAGGAAATACACCAAGTGCTATAAAGGCATTGGACAAGATACAACTAACATATCAGATAACCATATATGGTCATGTGACATACTTAATATGCATAACTGTGGGGTCGTAAGTACTGTTGCAGACAGGGACATGCAACTAGCACTATAATTGTGTTATCGAACAATGTATATGAAATATCATGTTTTGCAGTTACATTTTTAAATGCCGAATTTGTTCTATTATAAGCATGTATCATGAATGACAACGGCAATTCTGTGGTCAAAATAATATACTGTAGAATCCTTTTTTAGCTCCGCTGTCGACTTTGTCGAGCGGAGCTTATCATATGAGTGATTGTCCGGCGTCGTCCGGCGTCCGTGTCAATGTTTTACTTTTTAGCTCCGCTGTCGACTTTGTCGAGCGGAGCTTATCATATGAGTGATTGTCCGTCGTCGTCCGTCGTCGTCGTCCGTCGTCCGTCGTCCGTGTCAATGTTTTACTTTTTCGACTTCTTCTTGAAAACTACAAGCCTGAATGCTTTGATACTTGGTGTATATGTACCTTGGGTAGACCTCTCTTTTGTTTGTTCATTTCATGTTGATATCTTCAATTCTCTAATTTTGGTGAATATTTTTGTCATTTTGGGTAAAAAGTGATATTTTCGACTTCTTGTTAAAAACCGCAAGTGCAATTGCTTTGATATTACATATATAGGTACTACATGTGGACCTCTCTCAGATTTGTTCATTTTGTAATGATATCTTTAATTCTCTAATTTTGGTGAATATTTTTATCATTTTTGGTAAAAAGTGATATTTTCGACTTCTTGTTAAAACCGCAAAGTCCAATTGCTTTGATACTACGTATATAGGTACTACATGTGAACCTCTCTCAATTTGTTCATTTCGTGATGATATCTTCAATTCTCAAATTTTGGTGAATATTTTTGAAATTTTTGGTAAAAAGTGATATTTTCGATTTCTT